CAACAGAAGTGATACTCGTCTATTGTTCACCTTGGCAAGAAGGTTAGAAATGATAAGACAATTAATGTCCTTTGGGTTTTCATTTTGTAATGGCTTATATCTCATTAATCTACGTGTTATTCAATATTATCCAGCAGTTGGCAATGGACACTGAATTTTTTTTTTTTTGTATTTATTTTATCCCAGGATAATTGTTAATTAGCTTTTTGTTCTTCTGTTGAGTTATATGCATTGATAAGACAAAATGGTTCTCTGTATTGGTTGGAGTTGGCTTTAACTGCCCCCATCCATGTCAGACAACAGATGCAGATGGTTCATCTGTGTCAGTGATCATAGAAGTAGGGCACGAAGTATGGGCGATATGATCTTCGTTCTGAACTGGGTGATGCTAGTACAAAACTGTGTGTATGTACTAGTACTAGTAGTCTGCTTGCGGGTTTCTCTCTGCTGTGTTCTGTTTCACAAAAGAATTTTCTTAAAAATACAGAAAATTAACATAAACTTTAAGACCAAAAATTTGGGTCTGAACTGTCATACTGTAGATGGTGCAGAAGTAGTCCCGTATTAAAGCAGAATATTGTGCCTGTTTTATCACAAGAAATGAATGTCTGCTGTTTGAAACCCATGGATACTTTCTTCATACACAATGACATGCATGCATGTGCGCAAAAATATGCACGTATGGATCCGATGCATACAGGCACACTGGCATGCATGAAGATGGACTCAAACAGATGCATGCATACACACACAAACATGCGTACACACAAATCCATACAATACAATGTACAGAATGACAATTGTAAAAACTTGCATTGTGGTGGTTCATCAGTGGGCGTCCATGAGGACAATCTGGTCTTCCTTTGAGCTGATGATTTTGGTTCTTTGTGTGCACAGCTGCTATGGCACCTCCGTGTCCGAAAAGTTTTTCCTGTGGGCAGGGGTTGGTGACCACTGCAAAGAGCTTGCGTACGTGAGTCACTGACACACACACACACACACACACACACACACACGTGGACAAATTCAAGGCCATACTCGTGTTCATCTGCTGACAGACTGCCATTGATTATGTGTCAGTTAAATCTCGGAGGCAATATTTCTTAATGGGATCAACACCCCTGCGTATGTGTGAATCACATTCTCATGCCATAGCCATCTTGACTGTAACATAAAAGGGATCATTAGAGTCCATTGTGATTTATAGATTTATCAGGTCATATAGTTTGAATTTGATTTACCAGGACTTATGGCTGTTTAAAGCGTGTGGACAGGGTAAAATGATGGTATATTTGAAATTGTAAGTGTCTACCTTGACCTGATAATAAGGAGAGTTGATTGCATTTCCTCATGCAGAAGAGACCTCAGTATGTCCTGCTTCATAACAAAAGTTAATGTACCAAAACTGGTGGTTTATTATCAGGTTTTGCATCCTTTGCAAGCAACTTTGTATGATTGGTTACCGTGACACTTGTAAATATATTCTGTTGTATTGTTTAATATAAAAAAATTGAAATTTAGCAGACTGAATCGTCTCATATTTTCTCGTCAGATTGTGTAGCCTTGAGCCATTCTGTCACACGTCTTACATTAGCCAGACAGACAATGTCCCCGAAGTGGGACTGTCACATGTATCACAAGATGTCTGACAGGCTTTACCTTGAGGTTAATTGATGAGGTATGTTTTATATGTAAAGGTCTTGTAGGTGCTTTACATGCATTTTATGGAGATATATGGGATTTGCTTGTTCAAGCTGACGTAAGTGACCCCTGTGAGAAATCTCTTTGAAGGCTATTGGTGACCCTTCAGTATGGAATGCCAGTAACATATTTTGTTTTTGTCACATATTTCTCTTTCTTTCTGCCTTCCTTTCCACTTAATTAAATCTGCCTCTGCTTTCTTCTTTCTGTCTGTAATTCAATTTATAATTTGTGCTCTTTCTCTCCAAACTACCCCTTTGTCTTTATCACCTGCCCCCCCCCTCTCTCTCTCTCTCTCTCTCTCTCTCTCAGTTCACGACTTCTTTAAAATAACTAACAAACACTTGGTCTTATTATCGAAAAATAATAATTTGAGCAGGTTAAGAACTATTCACCGCAATTGACAGGTTGTCTGCAGGAGTTAAAAACCCACTTTTATACAGTATCAAATCTCCCCACTCTCAGTTAAGAAAATCATTGTGGTTTCATTGATTTTGGACAGTTTGGACAGAAGGCATTTCCTGTGTTAAAATCGAGCACAGAGACTGAGAAAGAAGGCCGGAGGGCAGTATGGTGCTTGACCACATCATTAAGTTAGTCATTCTGGGGAAACAAGGCTGTTTTGTTCTCAGAAAAACGTAAACCCAAACAATATAGAGTAGAAGGAGGTCCTGTAGAGTTCAGGCGTGCAATGGAGACACTTTTTGACAAAACAAAGTGTTAGTTCTGCGTAGATTAAAGAAAAAATGCCCCTATTTTAAACATGGCAAGGTAATTATTTTACCACCTTTTATTATTCAAATTCAATTCAAGCTACTTAAAATTACATACATAGTCCAGTATTTTAACTGGAATTTCATATATGTTGAAGGAATAGAATAATAGATAGGAGAGGGTCGACAGAAAGTAGGTGAGAGGTGGAAGTGGAAAGGGGGGGGGGGTCAGGACATTGTGAATAAATATATTTATAATACAATGTGAATAAATATATTAAATGGAGTTACAGTATTAGACAAATTGTTGAATAAAAAAAAAGAGAGAGAGAGAGAAGTACTAGTGCCTGGATTCACATTGCCTACAACCCACTTAAGAACAATATATGTGCACCCATTCTTCTCATAGTCTTAATTTTCCAAGGTATATATTAATCCTATGCTGGGCTATGTGTGTACTCAGGTATGAGGTGGCTGTGGGCAATATTTATCTCCAGCTGTTTGTCTATTTGTCTGTCTTGTGCCAGACAGTATGCTTTGATCATCAGGGAAGTCTTCTTTAGCTCTAGGTGTTTAGAGGAAGGCGGAGATAGATTAGAGATCGGTGTTAACTCAGCGGGTTTTAGCTTTTAGTCATTTTTCTTTTAGAACCAGGGTCTGGTTTTGACAAAAGCACTTTAGTCCCAGAAATTTGCCTTACGTTAGAGACTAAAACTTCTGTATACTTTTATTGAAGATATTTATCAGTAGTTGTCCACTTTTGAAAATAAAATTGCTCATATTTGACAGTGACAGAAATCATTTTTCTGATGGGTAGTTTTATATTTGAGCAGAATGAGTAGGAGTTGTAATAATAATAATAATGATAATATTAATAATAATATTCTATACTAGTATTTAATTAGACTTCAGTTTTATCTTGTTCAAGAAACGGCATATTTTTGCTCTTTGGTAAAAGTTTGTCTACACCAATTTGGTGAAACAAACTTTGGACACTAATTATTTATGACTAGAAATAGTTTGCCTGAGGTCAGTGAGCGGACAAAATGGTTCAAAAAGGGGTGAAAAGGTGCTGGGGTGGTCCTGGTATAATATGGTCAGTTTTGGCCATTGTATGATATCTGGTAGACTGCCCAGTGTCCACTATTTTAGTTTGTGCAGAAGCCTCTGGATTGTTTGGACACTTTAGGACCTTGAAATATAGAACTGGGAATGAGTTTTTTTTTTTTTTTTTTTAAGATTTGAGTTAGATTGTGATCATAAGATTCAGTTATTGCCAAGCAAAAAATGGTTCCTATGATTTGGTTATAACCGTTAAGATAGGCAATGATTCAAGTTCTGAGGTGATGAGAAATGGGGAGCCTACTGTATAATTGACACTGCTTTGAAATTGACCCAGCTACTAGTAAGCATGTTGTAGAGCCTTTTGACTCATTTCACTTACTGTACTAACTCACAAAAAACTATACTATTGTCAAAGTTCTCCCACACCCCCCACCCCACCCCGATTCAGCCATTACCCATAAACTTTTGCTTCATGAAATGAGATGAATGAATAATTTTGTACATACTAAACTTTAGTCAGTCTTTACTGTACATTTTCTCCACCTGCTCACTGTGATAGAAATTGTACTCTTAACCTGCCTTCTCTGAGGTGAGAATGCCTATCATACTGGTACACAAGACCTCCACTTCAGCCTTGTTTGAACAAGTGCTGGTGGCAAAAACTGGTGGCAAAGATTACTTTGTGGCTGCAACACATACTGCATACAGAACACTGCTTGAATAATATTTAAGATGTCTTACCCAATATTTTTTTTTTTTTTTTTTTTTTTTTTTTTTTTTTTTTTTGTGAAAATATACAGTTTGACAACAGCAAGCTTATTTCTTTAAGCTTACTAGTAATTGGCTGACAAAAAAAAAAAAAAAAAAAATTCTAATTTTATATGCATTGACTGAGAACTGATTAATGTATTATATGTTCATGTGTGTGAGTGTTTGAACATGAGAGAGTGTGTGCATGTGTGCAAATTATGACTGACACTGGAAATAGGCATCGCTTCGTGTACATTTTACCCCATAAGAACTTAGAAGTGCTCCCATTCTGTATTAATTACTAGTACGCGTATGGGAAAATGACCTGTGAAATATGCTGGGAATTGCTCAGTTCATGACTTGTTTTGTTATTGCTATGATAGAGAAGTGATGCAGTATGTGATGATATGCTTATAATGCCAAGTTTGCTTTTGTATTTCCATTTGTGAGGGAGGGGGGGGGATGCACAGGTGTTTAAGTGGCGACCTGGTATAAGGACTATCAATAATAATAATAATGATAATAATAACAGTAATAATGATTACAATAATAATGATATTAAATAATGAAAATTTTATATGGTTAATCTTTTTCCTTTTGTGCGATAAACAAAGATAATATACATGAATCTCAATCTTATCTCTGCATTAGACAACATATCAATGGTGGTTGTTTATAATTCATTAATTTAACATACTGTAGTATATGTCTATTTGTCAAATGGTAGATATTTATAATTCATTAATCTCATATATGTTTCTCTGTTCTCAGGCGTCCATGGATCTGCCTCCAGACAAAGCCAAAGTTCTGAAGAGCTACGATGATGAGAAGAAATGGGACCTTATCTGTGATCAGGTGACTAGCTGCTGCTGATGTGTTGTGTTGTGTTGTGTTTTATGTATTTAGGCTAAGGAGGTGTGTGTGTGTGTGTGTGTATGTGTGTGTGTGTGTGTGTGAGAGAGAGAGAGAGAGAGAGAAAGAGAAAGACACAGTGTTTGGTCATGTTTTTGTATGCACGTGTGTGTGTGTGTATATGTCTTATTGAGTACTAGATTGAATACTTTTAATTTTCGCTCTTGGCTGATTGACAGACTTTATGTCCTGAAGGGCCAGAAGATCCAACAATATTTTGGGTACAAACTGAATTATGTTCTTTCCCTGTTAGTTTACTTTCAGTGAAGTGTAGACTTGATAAACACACATGGAAGTAATAAAAGTGGAGGTGTGATTAGTGGTGAATGTATTTTTTTTTTCTGCCAGGTATCTATTTCAAAATTTGAATCAGGTCCTGTAGAATTTGTGACCCAGGTTCTTCCTTATTGAGACTAATGACTTCTTTCCTGTATTTAACTTGTTAGGCTCTCTGGATCTGAATGGTGCAGTATGTGTAGTTTGTTATCCTGAATTTTTAAATGCTCAGTTAATTCTGCAGTATTTGGTTAATTTTTGTCAAAAAATTGGGCAAGCCTTTTTTCTGAAAATTTTAATGGTTAAGATGCCTACCAAGGTGTCTTAAGAAAAGAAAATGACAAAATGTTTGTCCTTCCCCACCCCGTCTTTTTTTTTAAATTATATACTTTTTAAATAAATAATTATATGACCACATTAATTTACAATATACTATCCACTGAACACCAAGAAAGAAAGAGGAAATGGTTTTTCAAAATGGACTAATACATTAACCTTTTAATAATGCACTCAGCAGTCAATCATATTGATATATGACTAATGTAAATGCATTAAATTGGACAAAGAGCTGACCAGGTTGACCATCTGATCTGCCAGTCTGGCCAGATGCTGCCTTGTCCTATGACTAGTTAATGACCAAATGAACATGTCGGAGGCACAGGCTGGTGATTAATGGATCTCATTTTCCTGATGGTTGTTCTCATAATTTGTTCTCATGGCTCATTAGATAGTAGACCAGCCAGTGTTATCTTTTGTGCTAAAGACTTTTTAAATGATTTTTTTATCTGAATAAGCTATATTGCTGATCAATTTATATGTTAATGATGTTATGATCAGTTGAATGTCTCTCAGATGCTGTATTTCTTTTGTTTTNATTATATACTTTTTAAATAATTATATGACCGCATTAATTTACAATATACTATCCACTGAACACCAAGAAAGAAAGAGGAATGGTTTTTCAAAATGGACTAATACATTAACCTTTTAATAATGCACTCAGCAGTCAATCATATTGATATATGACTTATGTAAATGCATTAAATTGGACAAAGAGCTGACCAGGTTGACCATCTGATCTGCCAGTCTGGCCAGATGCTGCCTTGTCCTATGACTAGTTAATGACCAAATGAACATGTCGGAGGCACAGGCTGGTGATTAATGGATCTCATTTTCCTGATGATTGTTCTCATAATTTGTTCTCATGGCTCATTAGATAGTAGACCAGCCAGTGTTATCTTTTGTGCTAAAGACTTTTTAAATGATTTTTTATCTGAATAAGCTATATTGCTGATCTTATTTATATGTTAATGATGTTATGATCAGTTGAATGTCTCTGAGATGCTGTATTTCTTTTGTTTTCTCATAGTGCAGGGGTTTTCTCATTAATCCACAGTGGGACAGGAGTTTTTTAAAAAATGTCAAGGGTGTGTGTGTGTGTGTGTGCCTGTGTGTATGTGTACTTATATATGTCACAGTAAACTCCTTCAAAAACTGGCATATATTTGAGTAATTGTAGAATACACACAGGCATACACACAATTTTCATCATATCTTTGAAATAGAAATATCACACATATTGATCAAGTGTTAACCCCCTGAGTTCACCTCCCTGACTTTCAGAGTTTACTGGTAACCGACCTCCATTATCTGCCATTCAAATTCCCAGTAAACTGTAAAACTCAGGGTGGTGTTGTGTTCTTGTGAATAATGGCTGCATTTGCAACCAAAGTTCTTCCTCAGATTAACAGATCTGCAGATCAAATATGGCCGGCTCACTTAAAAGCTTGCCAGGTATTCCCTGCAATTAGTCTATTCAGTGTCTACTAGGGGATTATGCAGTAAGCTTTCAAGTGAGTCAGCCATATTTGATCTGTTAGTCCACAAGAACAACTGGTTCTGAATGCAAACAGTTAGGGTGATTTTCATAAATTTCCAAATTTGCAGATGATTTGTTCTGAATGCACTCAATGACCTTGATTTTCCATGAATTTCCAGGAGCGTGTCCATGCCAAACAGCCTCCCAAATACTACCTGGACATTCTGAGGACCTATCTGGACCCTTCCTCGGCCTCCAGGAGTTCACGGGTAGGTGTTGCCTAGAATTTTAACTACTCTGAAGTTCCAAATAATTCTGCTGTCCAAATATTTCATTGTATGAAATTTTTTGGAAAAATGAATAATCCTACCGTGGGAAGAAGACGCGTCTGTGAGGAAAAAACCCGGAAAAAAACTAATCTTACTGTTTGGAACTTGAGAGTACATTGCAATGCCTTTGCCATCTTGGAACATGGGGACCATTTCACAAAAATTAAGCTTTAATTCAATTGCTGATTTAAAGTTCTTTTGTGAAAACGAAACCCCGTCTTGCTTCTCATGTTGATACCTTAGTGCTAGTAGTCTTGTTGTGTATTTGTCAGTGCTTGAAAATTGATATGTGTGACAGGTTTAGAAAAATTATACAAACTAGAACTGGATGTTCAAAGCAGGTAGGTTGCTTCACATTTGAAGGTGTTTTTAAGATTTGTTTTCAATGAAGGATGAAGATTGAGGTGGTGTAAAAAATCACGTGTCAGGTTCAATTACTTCAGTTTGTTGTTTTGATTAAGAAAAAAAGAATAATAGATAAAAACTGCACAACAAAAATTTTAGGTGATTCAGTTGTGTATGTTGTGTGTCAGTGTGATTATAATGATATCCAGAACAATAAAAGGGAAATCATATAGTGAAAGGAAAACGGTGTTGGAGGAAAGAGAGAGTAGTGCTTCATTCCATCTATAGATCATATATTCCTCATGACACTCTTTATCCCACAAAAAAAAAAAAAAAAAAATACAGTAAGAAATTAAATACTTCCTCTCTTTTAAAGGGAGAGAGAGGGGTGTTCAGCTGTATTTCTTCAACCATAAAAGGTCCTAACACCAGGGGAATTTTTGGTGTCAAAAGTTACTGAAGCAGTCAGAAAGAAAATTGGTTTAATCATTTCAGAGATAGATAACAAATTGTAGGTCTGAAGTGTAAGAATGCCACCTTCACTTGTAGAGTTTAAATGTTTTTCATGCTTTTTTTTTTTTTTTTTTTTTTTTTGCGCCTGAAGGAGCTAGCCATAATAACTCTTGTTGTAAAGAACATGCATGGATTTTTTTGCCAATCTGTGAAGAATTACACTAATCTGAGCATGAGACAGAGCAAAGATTTGATCCATAGGTCATGTAGTTATTAGTAAATGGATATTATCCCTGAATTTGCCCCTAAGTTATATCCATTTATAACTCAGTCCTAGTTTACTTATCTGGGGTAGTGCTAGCAGTTTTTTTTTGCTTAGCCAAATCACCACATTTTTGTCAATTTCTTATCAAAATGGTTAGAATTTGGCTAAAACAAGTCAAATCAAGCCCTTTTTCTTTAGCCAATTTAAGTCAGTTTAAGCATTTGGCTAAATTGGCGAGTGTTAGTGCTACCCCAGCTTATATAGGTTAAATTTTTTAGTTGGCTGTCAGATTTTTTTCAGCTTTAAAATTTAATTTCAAGAATTGAGATTATATAACCAGATTTTTTTTGCAGAAACAAAAGTGCATGCTAAGCGTAACCTTCTTTCTTATTTATTTGTTTGTTTGTTTAATTATTTGTTTATTTCCACACTCCTCACTCACCCACTCGCACTTATTCTTCTATTGAAGGGTTTTACAATACAATAAGCTATATATCTAGTATGTAGTTCATAAAAAAAAAGCTGTGTTGTCAGTCTCACTAATTCACCTATCCTTTCCTTCACATCATTAGTTGACAGCCTGGATTTGTAACAATGAGGTGAGCTTTTGCTGTTGTCACATGATAGTCACCTGACAGTCACAAGGCAGTCACATGACTTGATGTTGTACATTGTGTAAAATATGTAAACTGATATGTTTTCATAGGATTCCCTGTAGCAGTATTTTTCAAACAATTTTTAAACCTTATTTTAAGCCAAATAGTTGTCTAGTGCCTTCGAGTCATTAGAACTTATAGTGATAATGATAAAAATAATAAACATCTTTATTTTTGTGGATCATTGTTTTATACATGCTTTGCATACATAAGGATATATACATGTTCACTCTCTGTGTATCTGTAATGTAATGTTGTGTGAACTGTAATGTGTATTGTTATGTATTGTTATATTGTGCATAACATTGCAAACATATGTACAATACTACTATAACATATGCAGAGATATGTTATGGCCGTTCTTTGTGTACCATTGTCATCACTGTTACCTGTCCTTAACCTGTTATGTACTGTTTTGCTTGTCTCTATTGTTACTGTATTGTATACTGTTCTGTTATGTGACTGTTGAATGCAAGTGCCCCCCCCCCCCTCCCACGCCCCTCTCTTTCTGTCCTCCTTCTTGTCTGTTTATATGTATGCATTTATGTATATTTATCTGTGACACAGCAATGCACTCTCAGTGTTACCCTTACCTCAGTGTTACTAGCTACCACTAGTGTGGCTCATTTCTTAAAAAATATACACTCTTCAAAAAATATACACACTGCAAAATATTACAATACTTCATCTCCTGTGACCTTTGGTGGTAGCAAGGTCGTTGGATGATCCTATTAAGAATGAACAGCCATATACATGTAACTTCCATTGTACTACTGTGACTGTATTATGAGGTTTTGATAAATTATTTGTATCGTTTTGATGGTAGTGCGACACAACATTCCCCTCTTTGTACATGGGTATAAAATATAGCTCTCAAGCTCACAAGGATACTTGCATTTTTAGAAAAAATGACAGCTTATTCCACCGTTGATTTGTTTAATTAATTAATTTGTTTATTAATTTATAATAAATACATTATTTATTAATGTGTTAGCAGTTTGTTTGAACTATATGGATGTAGACAAAACCTTTGGGAGAGTTGGCTTTGAACCTGCATGTAAAACCTACATTGTTTATAACATGAACTAGTATCATATAACTTGCATGCTGAAATGGGAAAACATAAGAACTGTGACTTGTTACTTGCATGGATCAGGAGAATTTTTTGTCAATTCTCTAATGAATGTACTTGATAGTAAATTGAAATAGTGTTAGTTGTTTTTATAGAGACCTGTTAATTGAATAAGAAATTTGAACAATGCAGTTTGAAAATCTAAAAAAAAAACTTGATAGAGATTACTTCCTTACAGCGTAAATGGGTTTGCATTCAAGATAAAGGTAGCAGGATTGGTTTTTGTTAATGAAACAAATTTAAACAATAAATAAAAGGAGGAAATGAAACGGAACAAAAAGAATTGACTTCTGTTATGACAATTTTGTATAAAATTACTTAGATCTCATCAAATCAAGATAAAGAATGATGCTCCGAATCAATTTCTTTTTTTAGAAAATTCCAATGATTTTTAGTAACAGAATCGGTTTCAGTCCAAAAGCAGTTATTAGTAATAGATATTGTTTAAGATTCGTATATTGGCTATTGCCAGTAAGTGTCATCTTTATGAGATTTTGCCTATTTGTATTTATTGGACCTTTTTTTTCTTAATTTCAGAAGCGTAAAATGCTTGGTGACGCCACCTCAACCCAGGTCCTGAGAGATCTGGAGATTTCACTAAGAACCAATCACATAGAGTAAGTGTATTTTATGGTGTTAATGGGTGTGCGTTCACAATGAAACTGTTGTACTAGGTAGTTCGACCCAACTCTGCAGGGACATTGATTAATGCAGTCAGATGAAAACGTAACAGGAATCCTCCTGGGGTTATTTAGAATACAAAAAAGCTGGTGAAGCTCTGTGAGTTTATTGAAAACAAGAGGAGGTATGTTAATCTGATAGTATTCAGCAAGAGTCCCCTCAGAGTTAATTTAGTATTCAGCAAGAGTCCCCTCAGAGTTAATTCGAACTACGTAGTGTGAGGGTCTCATTGTGAATGTACCTTATTAGTTCACAACTGAAATGCTATAATGGCACTAAAAGTTTCTTGTTTGACTATATAATGATACCTTTTTTCCTTTATTTCTTGACTGTTATCACAACATGAATATTTTATCTTCATTCTTGTGACTTAAAATGTACACAATGTCTTCATTAAGCCATTCTGCTTTCTTTTGACTGTACAAAATTGTTTTTGTAAATTTATGCACTCTTTCATGAAGATTTTTGTGTTTAAATTAGTAGTAATAAATTAAGCCAAGTGACCAATTTTTTTATCTTGGTGAATTTGGGGAAGTTTTCCACAATATATAAATTATATAAAGCATCTCCACCCTATTAAAGGCACTGCAACCACTGCCATTTAAATCACAGGCTGTATATTGGGGACATAAATTTGGGATGTACAAATTTATTGAGGAATGACTGCGTCTTTGTAAATCTCATTACCTAACACATCTGTCCACTGTCTCTGCAACTGATTGTTCTTCAGCCATCCTAAAGCTGGGAGGTAGTACAAAGGAAAATCACAGCTGACATTTTAAGACACAGTACCAATCCATTTGTGACAGCCTAACATAGTTCAGTTTTAGCTCACTGTATCATGTATTTAAAATGGTCAACTGAAAATGAAATATTTATCTTTTAAACTATAGTTTTATTCTATTTGACCCAAGGATAATCATTAACAGGACAATTTAATGAAATATTGTCCCTGTTTTTATAAGAAAAAAGACATGCCTGGCTAATTATTTATCCTACCAATATTGAACATTTAAGTGGACTCCTGTGGATATATCTTGAACTGAAAAAGACCAAAATTTGATCTATTTAAAAGTTTAGACTAATTTCCGGGGGAAAGAACTATAGGGAAACCACACCCAGAATGTGATTTTCAATCATCATCAGAACCTTGACATGATATAAAGCATTCTTCAGTTATTCGGGTATTTGGAAGGGAATGGATCTCTAAAATGAAGGAAAGAAGAAAGGAATAAGCAATATATATATAAAGGCTCTTATGATAAGAAATCAAATACAAAGCCTACTGCTAAGTCAGTGTGTCATAGCTGATCTGTAAATGCGCCCACAGGTGGTAGGTAGTGTTGTGTACTGGGTTTACCTGAGTTCACACAGTGGCATGTGTTGATGTCTTCCGGGGATGACACAGTGGTTGTTATGATGACATGATAGTCACGCCAGGGCTTACAAATAAATAAATGAAATAAATAAATGGAAATAATTTTTAAAAAAATAAATAAAATTAATGAAAATAATTAAATTATGACTGTAGGAAAATTAACTGAAATAAATTTTTAGAGATTAAGACAGAGGTACAGACAGATTGATATAAAAGAATTTCCAATATATTTATAGGAATTATAATTTTTAAAAAATGAGGAAGAAGAAAAAAATGTGTATTTTTAGCAGGTGGAAAATTTTGTAATTTAGAAGTCTCACTTCCTGTGCCCTTTTCTTGATTCATTCTCAGGAGTTTTTTTTTTTTTTGATCCGGTGGTTTTCATGAATATCATTAGAGCACAAGGAACTTCAAAGAAATAAATAATACACATTAACTGACTGCATAATGCCTTTGTGATGAATTTACCATCTTTCAAGAAGAAATAACATCCAGTACACTTCCTGATACTATTTTCCCATCCTCTGTAAGCTAATTATAAAAGCATTGCAGTCTTATCAAATGAGATTTTTTTAAATTAGTAAAATGTAAGTCCTCTTACAACACTGGGTGAATATTAACTGCATATGTGAAGGTCATGCGAGGCTGAGGAAGAAAAAAAACTAGTGTGTTGCGGAAATCTCATGGAGCAAGACATGGGATTCCTGCTGACTCATAACAAGCCACATTATTCTTCCCCCAGAGTCCTTGGATTGTTGTCAAGGGGCGCATTCACAACCATAGTTGATCCCAGGACTAATAGATTTGGGGATCAAATATGGCCCACCCACTTGAAAGCGTACCATGTAATCCCCAAGGAGAATCTCTTTAGTGTCTGTTAGGTGATTATGCAGCAAGTTTTCAAGTGACTACATTTGATCCAGGGATTAGTTAGACCATGGGCATGGATCAGCTTGTTTTGATTACACCCAAATTTGTGTTGACTTGAAATCTACTTCCCCTATACATCTCTATATAGGTCACGGGTTGACTTGTAAGCGTATGAAATAATGACATTTTCACATTTTGAGTGGATGTTAAGTTCTTTCTTGTGGGTTTTTAAAATTTCATGGCTTCTGTCATTTCCATCAGAAGTTCTGTATGTTCAGTGTTGGCTGCTTTCAATTCCAGCCCCCCCCCCCTCCCCCCCTTCACAAGCACACATTTTCAGTACCAACTCTCTCTCTCTAACTCTCTCTCTCTCTCTCTCTCTCTCTCTCTCTCTCTCTCTCTCATGCACAGAAACACACACACACAGTCCATTGCTGTCAAGTCAAATAAAAGGAGGCAGGGTGAGAGCACTTTGTAGGTCAGAGAAATTTAGAAATGTGCTGAGATTCTATAGAACTGAATTCAACCCATGCCTTTGAAGTTAAGCAATGACATATTATTTTTGATAGTTAAGCACTTTTTTAACAATCATCACCATATATAGCATACTTATAAAAAGCGACATATCAATTACCACATTTTTTTCTTTTGTTTTATTGTTCTTATAAACTTTTAAAAGAGTCCATTGAAAAGATTTGAAAGAAAAAAAATTGTAACAGGAATAAGTTTAGGAAAAAAAGAGGTGAAAGAAAAAGAATTGCTGTGATATTTCGAGATGTAAAAATCTCAAATGTCTACACAGAGATGGAGACCACTACTGTACGGTAGTTGTTCTCATGTTTAGAACTCCCTTTTTCCAAAACCTCTCATTGTTCACATGAAGTTCTGTGGCCTAATCTGTAGACAGTCTTTAATCTCAGTTTCCTTATTAAAAACTAAAAATATAAGACCTAGAACTTTTATCATGATTGTAAAAGGAAGATTTTAAAGACAACTTTATGGAGGACTTAAAATGGTTGGGTCATGATCAAGACCCTTTTATGGAGGATTGAACAGATGATCTAGCGGAGTGCCCCTCCTGGGGGGGGGGGGAGGAGTGATCCCACCTTGCCGGTTTAATGGCTCTAGAAACAATTTACCTCTTTATCATCTCATTTCCATTGTGCCTTGTGATGTATTTACATCTATTAGTACCTTTTCTACATTTTGCCATTTCAGATGGGTGAGAGAGTTCCTGGGAGAGGATAATAAAGGACTGGACGTACTGGTGGACTATTTGTCATATACACAGCTCATGATGAGGTATAGATTTGTGAAAAATACAGTTATTACCTATGCTAATGAAAGATTGTGTTTTCATTGGCTTCAGTTTCTATTTAGGGCAATTGTAGTTGAGAATTTTAGTTTTAACATGCAGAAAGCGACATCTTGTCTGGTGCTGAGTGATGTTGTGTTTACCTCAATTATTATATATAGTAATATATATATATATATAATGTAATATGTAATTAGTCATCTTTCTGGCTTGTTTAGCATTGTGACAAGGATTGGCATTGTTTGTTTTTATTGTTAATAAGAAATTTCAACACGTTCAAAAACTAAAAATTTGTTAACGTAGATTTGTTCAAATGTGTCTTAAAAATCGGTTTAAATGCAATAAATCACACAGTGAAGAAAGTTAGGGTTACTGTGGTGATCAAAAGCTTAGTGAGAGACAGGTTAAGTTAGTGTATACATGTAGACATTGAAAAGTTTAAACTTATAACATAATTACAGGATTACACATGAATTTCCATCAAAAAGAAAATACCTCTTGAAATTTTAAATGTGTAAGCATTTTTATTACATTCTTAGACCATGAATTGCTAGAAAGATTATTATTTTAGCAAAATTTTCTGATTCAAATACTTTTCACAAATTTTTTCAGGAGAGAACAGCTGATGCACAATTCCACACTGGACGACAGCGAAATCAGCAGCAGCTTCCAGCGAAACACGGGTCGCACCATGAGTGCACGCCAACAGAATAACAAATACAAAAGTCCGCGCAGGAGTCGTAGCTTGGCACCTTCATCAAAGTTGAACATGGGGGAGGCGCGGGACGACGTGCATGTGTGCATCATGTGCATGCGCGCCATTATGAATCACCAGGTGGGCAGTGTTGACATTTTTACCGATTCTCGGTGGATTTCTGTCTTTTTGGGAGTCAAAAATATCATTAACCTAGGTGGCCCTCTGGACCCCATGTCATATTTTCTGACTTATTCACTAAATGGCTTCCCTGGTTGAGGTTGTTGTGAAGTTAAATGTCTAATCCAGAAATGGATGAAAGATATAAAATGCATAATAGACTTTTACATTCTCATTATGTTATAGAATTATGATGAAGTATTTGTTAGAATTTTTTTTAATAGATGGATTAAATTTTGGGCAAAGTTTGCTCCATGTCAGAAAGTATTTTATGTATTTGTGGGTGTGAACAGCTTAAGGGGAAAAAAATTGAAGTTGGGGAGAAATTACTGTTGAGTGGAGGGAAGTTGATAAGTGCTTTTACATTACAACGTTATAGTAGATGTTTGTTTACAGTCTTTGTAAGTCAGCCATGTGATTGTATCAGCCAGAAAGGAAATATAAACTGGAAAAAAAAAAGTGAAAATTCATAAGAAAAAAAAAAAAAGAAATGCAGTGTTTTGGGAAGTAGTTCTTTTGTGGAAATTTTGCCGGTACATGTGTTTTTAAAGCTCCAGTGCCATGTTTTCATTAGATTTGCAGTATCAGTACTCATTTTAGATTACCTCAACTTGTTTGAGAAATGAGATATAATGCAATCTTTACTCTTTACCTACCGTCTATAACTTGCAAATTTTCACAACAGAAACCAAATCTTTTTAAAAACCCTCTTGGTCCTTTAAACAATTCACAAGCATTTTGACTAAAATAATTTATTTTTATTTTATTTTATTTATTTATTTATTTATTTGTTTATTTTATGGAAATATCCATGTTTGAATTTTTTATTATTTTTTAACCAGCTAATGTGAAATTTGTTGCTGTATTTCAGTATGGTTTTAACCTGGTGACTGCTCACAGTCAGGCCATCAACTGTATAACTCTCAGTCTCAATCACAGGAGTTTAAGGTAGGTTATCTTCCTTTGTATTAGGGTTACCTAATAGAATTATAGAGCTCTCACTGTATTTCAGTATGGTTCAGTATCAGCTGTGTGATTGTGTCAGCCTGAAAGGGATTATAAACTGGAAAAAAAGTGAAAATAATGGGGGAAATAAAAAGAAATGAGATGCTTTGGGAATTTTTCCAGCACATGGTAGACCATCTTCCTTTTACTAGGACTTAACTAATAAATTACAAAACTCCTGAACTCATTCAAGTTGATCAAAGGCAGAGTTATTTACTAAAGTAATTAAATTTATTATTATTGATATTTATTATTTTGTTGTGCAATTCCAGGACCAAAGCTTTAGTACTAGAACTTTTAGCAGCTGTATGTTTAGTGAGTGGGGGACATGAATTGGTGCTAGCAGCCTTTGACAATTTTAGAGATGTAAGTTTTTTTTTTTTTTAAATTAAATCAATTAAATACATCTAATTTCAATTTATTGAGACATTTGTATCATTCATGTGCAACTAATTGTAGTATATAAATATACATTTTGATTTTTATTTCATAAATAAGCATTTAAATTATTATATAAAAAAAATTAAGATGTGATGTTGGGATATGCTTGATTAGAAATTTAAAAGTTACATAATAAATGTTAATTAAAAGGATTTCAAATTAATTTTAGGTGTGTAACGAGCGACACCGGTTTGAAACACTGATGGAGTATTTTCAAAACTATGAAGAATTCCATGTAGATTTTATGGTGAGGAGTAGAAGATAGCATTAATGCATTGTTTTTTAAGTACAGCAAAAAAAAAAAGGAAAAAGAAAAATGTATTTCATTTTTTTGCCATGTATGTCCTTCAAAATTTACATTTGAAACATGACAGAAATTACAAATATTTACTAAATATTTTTTTTTTTATTTGTAGAGTTCATGATTTTCAGTTGAGATTTGATGTCTGTGATTTTTGTAATTCTTGCATTTACATGCATTTAAATCTCTAATATCTTATAGGTTTTAAGTTAATTATGTCAAATGATTGATTTGGAATTGCAGGTAGCTTGTATGCAGTTTGTGAATATTATTGTCCACTCAGTAGAAGACATGAACTTCCGCGTCCATTTACAGTACGAGTTCACAGTCATAGGACTCGATACATTCTTAGAAGTAAGTATCTTCACATTGTTTAGTCTTCACATTGTTTAGCCTTTGTTTTGCCACCTTTATTTTCAAATTTTCATTCATGCTAGCTTGTCATTTCTGAACTTTAATCCTACTGGAAGGTTGCCGCACCAAACACAAATTTAAGATGGGGTTATGAAGTGCACCACATAATCTGGAGGGTGGGATGTGCATCTAGATCTGTGTTTGACAAAGACAACTTCATTCTAAATATAGTCACATGATAAACTTTTATAGGTGGTTTATGGTATTACCATTATTATTACAGTCTGTTTATGATATTACCATTTATTTATAGTACACTCTGTATCACATAACAAGAATAAGGTCAGTATATCTCTTTTTCCTCTTCTTTCAGAAATTACGTCTCACAGAAAGTGACCGGCTTTCAGTTCAAGTTAGTGCTTACTTGGACAATATGATAGATGTGGCGGTGCTACTTGATGACTCTGAGGCCAAAGCAGCCGCCATTGAACATGCCAATGAGATGGAGGAAGAGCTCTCTAGGGTAAGGAGGATGGATTGTGCTTTTATTGTGATTGAAGATATTTCACCGGGTGCATTTTTACATGAAAACTTCAAGAAATCATTTTTCATAGCTGAGACAAAATTGAGAAAAAAAGAAAAGGGCTGGATCAAATTTTGTCATGATTTTGAAATATTTTTAAGATAAGCTTTTTCAATTCCATCTTGTATGTTTGTTTTTGAAGTAATAACTGAAGGCCAGAAAAGTTTTTTGACAGTAGAAGATATGGATAATTGTAAATAACTGAATATTTTATTATTTCATGAATTATAGACAGTGGAAAAAATGCAAGAGATTGAAGAAGAATCAATGGCGAAAATAGGTAGGTTGTCTTAGAAGAAGATGGTCTTAGACAGTAATCATTGTGAATGTAGAATAATGATTGATATTATTATTATTTGTTTTTTGTTGTTTTTTTTTTTTCATATAATATAGAATATCCTTTTATAAAACCTAAGTTAACTATTGAAATAATATGTAAAAAAAGAGATATTCATGAAATGTTGCATTTGTGTTTTTGCCTCCCAACAAAATATATTGTTGTACTTTGTTATTTTGTAAAATTCTATGTGGGGGAAAATTGGTAACATATTGGCTGTAATTGTCTTTCCAGTGGAGTTAGAAAAACAGTTAACAGATGCTTTAACTAATAATGAAGAATTACAGGTAAGGAAGGATTCTTTTAGTTCGTGGTGGTGTAAAAATGAATAAAATAAAATTAGGACCAATAAAATTTTATGAAATATAATAAATGGTAAAGAAAATGAGGTGAGTTATTTGCCCAAAATAATTCATAAGACAGATTTTGCTTTGTTCTTCTTTTATTGCATCTTCACTTAATTTTATTTATTAATTGAATTGTATCTGAAATTTGCTTTGTAATTAGGAACAGAAAATCATCATGGACTTCTGAAAGTGTTCAGTTATCTTTTATCTCTATAAATACTGCCCCATAGAGCTTAAATTATATATATATTTTAAGAATTGTTTTAAAAGTTCCAGAAATAAGTTAAAAAGAAAGAAAACATAAACAGCAAGAGATATTCCATCACAAGTTGTTTTATTTCACAGAATAAAACCAAAGAAGCTGAACTCCAAATCAGCACTTTACAGAGGACAGTGACAGAACGAGAGTCTGATGCACAGTCGCAATTAAATCTTTTAAACCAACACAAAGAGGAGCTGGAGAAACTACGGAAGAGTTTCAAAGGTAATTATGACTTTTGGCAGATGTTAAAGGACATTTCAACTTGGAATTCTAATTACCTCATTATTCTGAATAGCTCATTATTTTCTGCAATTTACATTCATATTGTGTAAGTTTTTTCATTACCAATTTTAGGTAAATCAAAAATTTACTTATTTTTAAATATGATTTCCATCTGATGTTAGTAGAAATCTTTGTATGGCTTTGATATGCAAAATGTTATGCGTGATGATTTTTATTGGGCTCTATTAGACTAAAAAATAATGCAGCAGCTAAAGGAAATAAGGTAGTTCATAACTGTGTAACTCAATAAAACCTTACTAGAAAATTTACTCAACACAACATATTTGAATTTTTTCTATACATGAAAAGTAAATAATGATGAACTTTCTTCATTTCAGGTGGAGCTTATGTACCAGGAGCTCCAACCCAATCTACAGTGGCACCCCCTCCACCCCCTCCTCCCCCACCCCCAGGGCCAGGGGGTCCACCCCCTCCACCTCCACCACCACCACCCCCAGGGCCAGGTGGAGGACCCCCGCCACCCCCTCCTCCCCCAGGGATGGGGGCACCAGGCATGCCGGGTAAGTGTGACCACTTTTAAACAGTGTGGTTTACAGCAAGTTTAGTTATAACTAGCTTAAAATAATTTGGTAGAGCAATTTCTTATAAACTTAGGCCACAACAAATGATCCAATTCAAGTTATTTATAAAAAAATTTATAAAAAGAATGCACCTCCTTGTACAAAATGAGTAGGGGTGGCTCCCATAAACCCATTTAATATTATCCAAGCCCACAACTTTAACATACACAGTTTTCACAAAGACCTCGGTTGACCTCTAAAGGCCAACATTCAGGTGTAGGAGTAGTTGTGTGACTCTTTATTTTTTCAGTGGAAAAGTTATTAATCCTTCAGATAGATGGTTTTTGAATCATTAAAAATTGTATTTCTGCGTAACAGTTGTGTTTCTTTCACTGTTACAGTATATACGATAAGTATAGTGCAGCCTGCATTTTAATTTTGTTGCTACTACTCAATGGGGTTGTTCTTGATTTTAAGAATTTATGACTTGTGAAAAATACAGTTTGGGCAAAATTGATAATTTTCCCTGTTGAAAAGATCTAGCCCAGTATTTACTCAAAGAATTCTAATGCAATTTGCAAGATAGACAGTTATGTAGGAGAAAAAGAAGCAGTTACTGATTCAACTGAATCTGGGTCTTGCAATATTAAATAGATAGTATGTTTTATATAATTATTGTTCTTTTTTTCTGCACTTGTTCAGTGCTCTTTATTTTTATTTTTTGCTTTATATAATTAAATTTTTATTGTTTTCCAGCCATGCCCATCAAGAAGAAGATAACCCCAAAGTTCAAGCTTCCATCTCTAAACTGGGTCGCCATGAAGCCACAGCAGGTGAAGGGAACGGTCTTCTCAGAGCTGGATGATGAAAAGTTGTACAATGTAAGTTAATGAGGATGGATATTTATGGGGCATAGGCAAAATATGTGTGTAGGTGGGGTTACTAAATGGCATAAATGGCATACATCTTTTTTAAGTGAAGTGTATGGATCCGGAGAGAGAGAGAGAGAGAGAGAGAGAGAGGAGGGGAGGGAGGGATAGAGAGAAAGAGAAGGGGGGGGAGAGGGAGATTCAGAAAGTGAGAGATGTGTATGTGTGAAGAGGGAGCTATTTCAATAGCTAGTACGTACAAAGTTGATTTTTTTCAGCATGGCTTATGCTGCCATAAATCTGTCCATGGAAATGTACCTTCTCTGTAATACCATATCTGAATTTGAAAAAGAAATAATCCAACTTAAATTTTATTTTCCATATCAATATTCACATTTCCTAGTATTTAGCTTGGATCTCTGACTGTTTCAGGAAATAGATTTTGATGATTTTGAATGGTGGTTCAGGGTTTGCACAATAATGAGAACCATAGATGTGATGTTCTATATTTATAAAGTAGCATATTCTGTTTATAACTGTAGGGTTTGCAGTAAAGTGTTGACATTTCAGTGTGTTTTCTTGGTTGTTTTCACTATATATATATATATATATATATATATATATATATATATATATATAGTTACAATTTGGCAGTCATTTCTTAAAAGTAATGTACTATAATATAAAGTACTGTTTTGATAGAAAAACATTTGGTTTTAACTTGTCCTTATTTTCGCAAACTTTGAAATGGAATGAATTGGTTGTGGTTAGTTTTTTTTTTTCTTCAGTACGTTTTTATTTTCATATATGTACATTTTTTGTAGATAATACACATTTGCAGCACATTGGTTTAACTTGGAAATCACTCTTAACCAATTTTGCAAAACCTTTATGACCTTTTATTCACTTTGAATTTATTTTTTTAAGTATTCTTTATCCAAAATTTGAAATGGGATTAATGTATGCAACACTAATTACAGACTGTTGGATTTGCACAATAATTTACTGTCAATATCTGTTTTTATTCTTGTTCATTTATTCATTCATTACTCAGTAAAAGGAAAAAATTGCGTGTGTGTGTGTGTGTGTGTGTGTGTGTGTTCTGTTTGCCCCCATGATGAAGTCTTTGGCCTGAAACAGCCGTAGTAATTAAAAAAATGGGTCAAACAGGCAGATTTTGTTCATTTACTTTTTTCGTTTCAAATTAAACATATATGTATTTTCAGGTGATTGACTTTGACAAGTTTGAGGAGCAGTTCCGTGTGGGTCTCTTGAATCCCCTCGATGCTCCAGATGGCGCCACCCCACGCTTGATGAAAAAGAAGAAACCTGAGAGCATCACGCTTTTGGAAGGAAACAGGCAGAGGAATGTCGGTGTGTAGAGAGAGAGAGAGAGAGAGAGAGAGAGAGAGAGAGAGAGTGTGTAGAGAAAGTGATAGTTTACCACAAGATATCATTNACCATGAACTGAACATTGCAAATTTTGCTTCCCTTTTATCTCCAAAACTGGCAGAGATAGGTCCGTAGTTTCTATTGGACTTGAATAGGAAGTCATATACTGGCAATCTTACTGTGACCTTGAAATTGACCTTTGACCTACTTTTCATTTTTCTGTTATCTTTAATCTGTAACATTTTTCGCTGATATTTTTCAAAAAGTGTTCTTATATATTAAATCAATTACCAAGAATGGACATTGCTATTTTTGCTATCTTCTAAGGTCTCCTAAGTCTGCCAAACTCAGCACAGAAAAGATTAGCAGGTCACGTGCACTGTATCTCATTTACGCAAATCATAAGTGGAGAGACTAAGATTGTGCTAGTTGTGCTTTACTTCTAGTACTGCCATTGCAATCATTACACCTACAAGAATGCACAGAAAAAAACAAGGTTCTGGACTTTTATTTTCCAAAACAAACACCCTTGATGGATGACCATCTCTTAAGTGACCCCTTTATTTTATTTCATTGCATTACATTTCATTTTACAGCAATTACAAGAAGGAAGATTGACCTTAGTGAAGAGGATATCGCCAGGTTTGCTACGGCCTTTGATCTCAAGAAGCTCCCCCTGGAATATTGCGAGATTCTGCTACGGATTATTCCAAATGAAGTTGAGGTAAGATTAACTGTTTTTAAGTTGATTTTTAGAGGAAAGTATATCCATGTTAGTGCTGGTTGGAAAAGAAAACAATACCTAAACCAGGTGCTTTAAACCAGGCAAGCAGTTTTGCATATTTTTTTTTATGCATCTTTTGTTGTTAAAAGAATAGTTTTTTATATATATGAAGCATGCATTGAAAAAATATAAAGATTGCAATGTCAAGATATGTCAGATGTTAAATATAACGGTATTTGGGTAGATCCTTAATGTAAGCAGCCTGAATACTTTTTACCTTAACTTTCATTATTATTTTATTTATTTATGTAACCGCTATTTTATTAAATATTTCTTGATTGCTTCTTTTTAAATATTTCAATGGTACAATCCAACTGTTTTAAGTTGCAAAAAAATAAATACTACTGAAATTGTATTAATAATGTTACAATTTAATGTACTCACAAAATTTAAGGTAGCAGCTAATGGGTTATTTGAAGCGAAGAGTATTTTAACAATTTTCAAGCAGATGGTATGTATTTTGAAGTTTTTATCAATGTCAAATATGCATTGATGTATTGATCTGGGTTTTCTTCTCAGGTGAAGAAATTTAAAAACTATGAGAAGGATATGAAACCTTTAGAAGTTTTGTCAGATGAGGACAGGTTCTTGATAAGTGTGAGTATTATTGAAATATTTCTAATGCTTTCTTTGTGTATGTTTGTGTGTAAGATAACAGAAAAAGTTAAGGTTCATTTAGCCAATAGATATGCATTACCATATAAAAGCACCACTGTGTTTAAAAAGTATAGCTGAATAAGTTTTGTATTGAAAAGTACACGGCTGGTGTATGTGTGCGCGCACTTGTGCATACTCTCCGTCTAATATATGTCACTGTGTTTTCATTCATGAATGTACATAAAAAATGTAAGATATGTATACTTACGTGTTCATGTTCGTAAATTTTTTGAATGGTGTAAATTACAGCTAAAGAGTCTTAATTAATTGATTATTTGCAAATATCTCTAACTTCAGTTGATGAAAATGGAACGACTTGGTCAGAAACTCACCATAATGAGTTTTATAGGCAATTATGGAGATATGGTCCACACTATACAGCCTGTGAGTATATGTATTTTAATTATGTATAGTATAGAGATAGAGTTACTCTTGAGACAAGTAGTCCATAAAGAATGGAAAAGATTGCAAGAATTTTAATATTTACTGCACTGTTATCTGCTTAATTTATTTATCTATATGGTTGATGTATTAAAGCTGACACACTTGTTTGTTTTAAAGAGATATATTTTAATTTAAGTGGTCTTTTAAATGGCGGATTACATTTTCTATAAAATAGCAAATTTAAGGAAAAAATATATATTTACTTTTTTCAGCAACTCAACTGCATCATTGCTGCCTCCATGTCCATCAAAAATTCTGTCAAGGTGAAGAAAATGTTGGAAATTATTTTAGCCTTCGGCAACTATCTGAACAGCAGCAAAAGAGGAGCAGTATACGGGTTCAAACTACAGAGCTTGGACACTGTGAGTAAAAATATTGTTAGTCCAGAGAATTTTTTGTTAGTTATCAAGCAAAGGAGAGAGAGAGAGAGAGACTAAATGTTAGTTATAGTCCAGAGAATGTTTTTGTTGTAGATTATCAAGCAAAAGGAGAGAGAGAGAGAGAGAGAGAGAGAGAGAGAGAGAGACTAGTAAAAACCATTTACCCTTCATCAAAGGGAATTCATGAGAGGTCAGACAATAACCTCTCAACTTCCAGAGCTCACAAACATACATAGCATCAGCTTGACAATAATTTCTAATTATAAATGTCTTATATTATAAACAATGCTATCTCTTCATGATTACAGCTGGTGGACACACGTTCCAATGACAGGAAGATGACGTTGTTACATTACATTGTTCTTACAATTGAGGAGAGGTTCCCAGAGCTGTCAAACTGGGAGAATGAACTCAGATATATTGAAAAAGNCGGTGACCTTGAAATTGACCTACTTTTTCATCATGAACTGAACTTTGCATATTTTCGTGCCCCTCACATCTTCAAAACAAGCAGAGATATGCCCAGTGTTGCCCCTAGGTTTTCTCTTTTCTCAGCATATATGCAACACTGATAACTCATTTCAAGGAAAAGCAATAGGCCTATTGTCCAGAAAATCACAGGAGTGATCAATGTTAGGAAAATACAGGCCAATTGGAAAATCCGCTTGATTGAACCATTTTTATGTTATATTTTTTTTGATTTTTTTTTCATACTTTGAGAATTCTTGGTTATTGCATAGAGCTTGTCAAGGACAAGACTGGTTGTGGTGTCCCTTTTTGGGGGGGGTTTCCATTCGAATGCTCTTACTCCAGCTGGTGGTACAATATCCGGAGGCGGTATCGCCTCTCTGATCCTCTAGTTAGAAGTTACAATTTTGTCAGTCATTTGTTTTGATAAAGTATAATTTTGATTGAATACATTTGGTTGTAACTTGTCCTTATTTTCATAAACTTTGAAGTGGAATTAATTAGCTGTGATTAGTTTTTGATAATTCACATGTTTGCAGCGCATTACTTTAACTTGGAATCCTTTTCGCAACAATTCTGCAAAAACCTTCATACACTTTATTCACTTAAAATTTATTTTTCAAAACTAAATTTTCTTTATCCAGTATTTGAAATGGGATAATGCATGCCACACTAATACCAATCAGTTTGTTAAATTTTACATTAATTGCTCACAATAATTTATTGTCAATATCTCTTCTCATTCTTGTTTATTTGTTCATCTATTATTCTGTAAAATATATATATATGTATGTTTATTTATATTGATCTGTTTGCACCCACGAAGTCTTTGGCCCAAAATGATCGTAGTATTAAAAAAACATAGACCAAACAGTTTGATTTTGTTCATTTATTTTTCCTGTATATTTATGTATTTATATATTTTCAGGTGATTGACTTTGACAAGTTTGAGGAGCAGTTCCGCGTGGGTCTCCTGAACCCTCTCGATGCCCCAGATGGCGCCACTCCACGCTTGATGAAAAAGAAGAAACCTGAGAGCATCACCTTGTTGGAAGGAAACAGGCAGAGGAATGTTGGTGTGTATATATTTATATACGTATAGTGTGTGTGTGTGTATGCGTGTGTTGTGTGTGTGTAGAGAAAGTGATATAGTTTACCACAAGATATCATTTTTCTGTTATCTTTAATCTGTAACATTTTTCGCTGATGTTTTTCAAAAAGTGTTCTTATATGTTAAATCAGTTACCAAGAATACACATTGTTCTTATATATTAAACCAATTACCAAGAATGTACATCGCTGTTTTTGCTATCTTCTAAGGTCTCCTAAGCTAAGGTCCTGCCTGTCTCACTACTTTCAAATGTCGGCCAAATTCAGCACAGAAAAAGACTAGCAGGTCACATGGACTACTCCTCATTTCCACAAATCTTAAGTGGAGAGACTGAGATTGTGTTAGTTGTGCTTTACTTCTGGTACTGCTGGTGAAATCATTACACCTACACCAATGCACAGAATTATTTTATTTCATTTCATTTTATTTCATTCTATAGCAATTACAAGAAGAAAGATTGACCTTAGTGAAGAGGATATTGCCAGGTTTGCTACGGCCTTTGATCTCAAGAAGCTCCCACTGGAATATTGCGAGATTCTGCTACGGATTATTCCAAATGAAGTTGAGGTAGGATTTACTGTTATTAGGTTGGTTTTTAGAGGAAAGTATATCCATGTTAGTGCTGGTTGGAAAAGAAAACAATACCTAAACCATGTGCTTTAAACCAGGCAAGCAGTTTTGAATTTTTTTTTAATGGATCTTTTGTTGTTAAAGGTATAGTATTTTTTAAAAAATACATATGAAGCATGCATTGAAAAAGTATGAAGATTGCAATGTCAAGATATGTCAGATGTTAAATATTACAGTATCTGGGTAAATCCTTAATGTAAGCAGCCTGAATACTTTTTACCTTAACTTTCATTATTTTTTTAAATTTATTTTACCTCTATTTTATTAAATATTTCTTGGTTGCTTCTTTTTAAACATTTAAATAATACAGTCCAACTGTTTTAAGTCGCAAAAAATAAATACTACTGAAATTGTATGAATAATGTTACAATTTAATGTACTCACAAAATTTAAGGTAGAAGCTAATGGGTTATTTGAAGCAAAGAGTATTTTTTAAAAATTTCAAGCAGATTATATGTACTTTGAAGTTCTTATCAATGTCAAATATGTATTGATGTATTGATCTGGGTTTTCTGTTCAGGTGAAGAAATTTAAAAACTATGAGAAGGATATGAAACCTTTAGAAGTTTTGTCGGACGAGGACAGGTTCTTGATAAGTGTGAGTATTATTGAAATATTTGGAATGCTTTTTCTTTGTATATTTGTGTGTTGGATAACAGAAAGAGGTTAAGGTTCATTAGCCAATGTAAAAATACCACTGTGTTTAAAAATGAAGAGCTGAATAAGTTCTGTATAAAAAGTACTCAGCTGATGTGCGTGTGTGTTTGTGTGAGTGAACATTTGCAAACACCTCCATACATGTAATATGTGAGTATTCGTACATGCATATACATTAAAAATGTTAGATATGGGTGCCTACTTGGTCATACTCGTGAATTTTTTTGAATAGTGTAAATTACAATAATATCCACTTCTACTAGTGTCTCATACGACTCAAATAAATTCGACTACCAAGGGATAAACTTAATAAATAAATCACCTGATCAGCCATAAAAGAGCTTCAGACTGCCCCTTTCTTTAAATTTTTGGTCAAAAATTTAATATACTTTCATGACCTACTTTTCTGCCCCATTGATATACAGTAGAATGCTAGCAGAAAAACCCTTTAAATATCATTTTTTTCTGGGGTAAAATTAAACAATGCCTTTTGGTAATTCTCTTAGTTATTCTACTTGAAACTATATGCTGGCATTTGATTGGCTTTTGTGGCAAAAATTTGACTTTGTATGTATCTTTAATATTGATTAATTGCAATTATCTCTAACTTCAGTTGATGAAAATGGAACGACTTGGTCAGAAACTCACCATAATGAGTTTCATAGGCAATTATGGAGATATGGTCCACACTATACAGCCTGTGAGTATTTGTATGCTGACAGTCAATGAAAACGCATCAGAAAACTTTCTGGTACTTTTTTTTACCGAGAATTGATGCCAACCATATAAACGAGTACAAATGCACTTGTTTGGTCATAAGAGAGTGGGATGACCACTATTTCATATTTCACATATTTCATACGAAAACTGTTATTTTCTTAGTGTGCCAAAGGAACTTAAAATATTATGTATAGTATATAGATTGAGCTACTCTTGAGGCAAGTAATCCATAAAGAATGGAAAAGATTGCAAGAATTTTAATATTTACTGCACTGTTATCTGCTTAATTTATTTATTTATATGGTTGATGTATTAAAGCTGACACACTTGTTTGTTTTAAAGAGATATATTTTAATTTAAGTGGTCTTTTAAATGGCGGATTACATTTTCTATAAAATAGCAAATTTAAGGAAAAAATATATATTTACTTTTTTCAGCAACTCAACTGCATCATTGCTGCCTCCATGTCCATCAAAAATTCTGTCAAAGTGAAGAAAATGTTGGAAATTATTTTAGCCTTTGGCAACTATCTGAACAGCAGCAAAAGGGGAGCAGTATACGGGTTCAAACTACAGAGCTTGGACACTGTGAGTAGAAATATTGATAGTCCAGAGAATTTTTTGTTAGTTATCAAGCAAAGGAGAGAGAGAGAGACTAAATGTTAGTTATAGTCCAGAGAATGTTTTTGTTGTTGATTATCAAGCAAAAGGAGAGAGAGAGAGAGAGAGACTAGTAAAAACCATTTACCCTTCATCAAAGGGAATTCATGAGAGGTCAGACAATAACCTCTCAACTTCCAGAGCTCACAAACATACATAGCATCAGCTTGACAATAATTTCTAATTATAAATATCTTATATTATAAACAATGTTATCTCTTCATGATTACAGCTGGTGGACACACGTTCCAATGACAGGAAGATGACGTTGTTACATTACATTGTTCTTACAATTGAGGAGAGGTTCCCAGAGCTGTCAAACTGGGAGAACGAGCTCAGATATATTGAGAAGGNGACCTTACAATTGGCTGAAAGTTCTCAGCATTATGCCTTATTTCAGAATTTTCAGTCTTCATTTTGATTTTTTTTTTTTTTTTTTTTCTTTTTTAAGGTCGAAATGAGAATTTACAATCCTTGTTTCAGGATTTTCAGTTTTTTCAACTTTCACCTATGCAATTGTCCCGATTTCTGAATACCTCTTTTTTTTCAGTTTCCTTGGAGAATGTCCTGCTGGACATTAAAGAGCTGGACAAAGGCATGGAGCTGACCAAGAGGGAGTACGAGGGGCGCAAGAACTCGCCTTACCCACCAGTTGTTCTGGAAGAGTTCCTGAAGACTTCTCAAGATAAGCTGAGGAAGATTAAAGTGGATGCCAAGACAGCACAGGTAGGTAGAAAATAATTATAATAGCAACAGTAGGTTTTTGTGCAACTGGTGTGATTTGATTTTCAATGCATTTGATGCTCAGTCATGATTTGGAATGCAGATGTATACAATTAATAAGTCCATTCTCCTTATTAAGATATTTAAACTTATTTGCACAAGTGGACATGTTTTGTTAAGCCAAACATGTGGACAATTTCACTGGAAATTGCCTTTTTGTGTTAAAATGGGGTTCTAGAGTTTTTTTTGTTTTTTTTTTTTTTGAGGAGGGGGAGAAGTGCCTGTTCGTGTGTCAATTTTGCTGTAAAAACTGATGTCTGATATTTTTTGTTGAAGGTTCATCAATCTGAAAAAAATATTTTTTGAGATGCTTTAGTATTTTCTTAAAAGATCTAATGGTATACTAGTAATAAATAGAGAGAGAGAGAGATTCAGGGATATCTTTTTCAAATATTTCTTTCATTCCATATCACAGGAAGCCTACCAAACTGTGGTGGAGTATTTTGGGGAGAGTCCCAAGTCTCTGGATCCCAACACTTTCTTTGCTATCTTTGTTCGCTTCGTCAAAGCTTACAAGGTAAGTCCAAATTTTCTTTAAATTTGTTTGAATAAGATCTCGGTAAGAATCTGTGGCCAGAATAGTTGATGAAATATCCGTCAGGTTTCTGATTGGAAAGGTATTTAAGATACTTTTTAAGTCAAACAACAGAGATTTTGAAAAAAAAGTAGACAAACTGCACTTAGTGACTTCAATGCATTAACCCTGCCCAGTGTTCAAAATGCAATGACAACTCTTGTCTAAATCTACTGGTGTTTTGCTACGATCTCTTTTTCTATCACGTAATGTAAACTTAATTAATGTGTTGTATAGTTATGTATCTTTAGAATACTTGCTTTATTTATTTATTTATTTATTTATTTATTTATTTATTTATTTATAAACCAAGTACACTACTGAATTTTGTCACTTCTTGTTGTCCTTGTATACAGTCTGGGCAATAACTGTCAGTTCATTGTTGTCTACATGTCCAGTCCCTCCTGTGTAAACTAACATCTCTCCTCTTTATTTATTTACTTATTTATATGTCCATCCCCCTCCTGTGTAAATGTACAACTCTCCTCTTTGCACTTTCTAGCAAGCGCACGATGAAAACGAATTGAGGAAAAAAATGGAGCAAGCCACCGCCATACCAGAACAGATCGAGAAGGAGAAAGAGAGGCGGAGGTCGGAGAAGAAGAGCCACGAGGTAAACGGAGCACCTTTTTTCTTATCTCTTGTGTGACAGCATGCTCTAGTGCCTCTGAAAAATGGTCTGAAGCTGCAATTTCAAGTCAGAAATGATAAAGTGGTCAAACAGGGAATGAATGAAGCAGACATGAGCTTTTTCTGTGGAAAAGTGTAATTCTGCGCTTTCTAATTCAATTCTGATGGTTCCTGAGTTTGGTCAAGGTGAGGTATTGGGTCCCATGATAAATGTTCAGGATTTTGTTTTGAAACCTAGGCTCTTGTCTGGTAAAGGGAGACAATTAAGTGGAAGGCAGTCCGAAAAATAGTCTAACTTATTGATTACGACCGTCTTGCTCATTGAACCGAGACTGCAGATTCAGACCATTTCAGGTGCACTCGTGATGGCATGAACAAACAGCATGTGTTTCTTGTGATCTTTTCAGGCTGTTCACCTTCCTTCTCAGTCACTGGGCACAAATAAATTACCGGCCTGTTTCATGAAAAATTCTTAAGGTTTTAGTAGGCAAAGTTCTCTCTTTTGAGCTGCCATGCATTTGAACTTCTTATTTTGTATGCTGTTTTTAATGGACAAGAGTCTATTAAAATTATGTGAATCTTGAATTATGTTTGATTTGAAATGGAAGACAAAATGAGAACAACAAATGTGTGTGTCGATATATGTAAGTACTGTCAGTCAAATCTATATATGGTCAGCAGTGACCTAGTTTAAAGGCAGTCACGTTCTATGTGGGGTAAATGGGCAGTTAGGCTTTAATTACGTGCTTATTTGCATATTTTTTGTTTATTATAGACATGTCAATTTGTAGATAATATTTCATTCTCTTCAATGCCACTGTTTTCACAAAAACACCCAAATTTTGGCATTTTCACGTTCATCTCAATCTTCAGTGACTCCCATAGTAAATCAAACCACAAATGCATGAGAGATTCTAGAACTGTAATATTGAGTAACCATGATATTTTATAACCAGGCTGCTGTGGTGGATGAGCTGAAGAAAAAACAGAACCGACGGCAGATTAAAGAGAAGAAACTTTTGGGAAAGGACGAGGTGTACCACGGAGCTTTGGAGGACATTTTACTTGGTAAGGGTTCAATTAAGTGCTGGTCATCCATCAAGGGTGCTTGTTTTTGAAAAAAAGCTCATAATCTTATTATTATTATTATTTTTTTTTATTTATTTTATTTATTTGTTTATTTTTTTTTATGAAATGGAAGAACATAACCACCAGAATTTGTAAATAGGAATTTCCTCTGTTTTAAAGGAAAAAAAGGAAGTCATAAATCCTCCATGAGTGGTTAAGGCACAGTATGTTTAGACAAAAAAAATGTTTTATAAGATTAGGATATATATATATGTATCACTTGCAATTTTAGATTTAAAGAACGAGCCATATAGGAGAGCTGATGCTTACAGGAGAAGCCAGCGCCGCCATAATGAAGGTCTTCAAGCAGCTAGCTCAATGAGTGAAGGCTTCTAAATGCCTCAAAGTACTTTTGTTGCCATTTTACACACCATTGGACTATTTCCACATGCCAGCAAAACTGGTGTCAGTCATTTTAACCAGGCGGGCAGAATGACAGTTTCAAAATGGCGTGGTTCTGTGTTGATGCCCTGAACAACATGGCTGATGTCTGTTTCAAGATTTCGCCACATGTAGACAGATAGTATAATAAATTTACTCATTCTGTTGGGCAGAATCATCTTCAGTTATCTAACAGTTTGTCAGTGAGTCTGAAACTTGCACAGTGCCAGGGATTGGTGTCAACATCTCAACCTAAAATGCAAACAATTGCTGGGAATTGCTACTGAAACCCATACACTTTCTGTGAGTTGTTGGTTTCAGATTTGTCACTGGTAAAAATTAACTCCCTGGAATGTGCTGTAGACAACAATAAATTGCCTGCAATATCTGCATACTGCCAAAGGTAGGAGGACAAGCTTCTCAGCCACGATTGCCTTTTGGCATCAAGAAATTCTCTAGCCCTGTTACTCCAGGTTTGTTTCTTTGACCACAAGAAAAGAAACACACCTCAGCATTTTATTGCTTGACTTTTCGCTTAACTGGCAATGGACACAGTGCTCTCTCTATGACCCAGTGTATTTAAACTAATGGACAGCCTTGTAAGTGGACCCAAATGGCTGGACTGTGATTTGTGTATCATAATCTAGTGGGCGTTGTGTATCATCAGCCAAGAGAAGCCCAATTCAAAAATTGTGAGGAATGAAATACTGAATTAGAGGCCTTTTTGATTATTCAAAGAAATAGGTTAGGAAAGATGTGATTTTACAGTGGAGATATTTTTCACAGCAAGCAAAAGGTTGTGATGCCTTTAAATTTTGGAAGGTTTTGGTTAAAAGCAGAAAGCCCAGTAGCTGTTGGTTAAGTTGATTTTAGTTGAACAAAGATTTACAATAGCGAGTTAATTTTCTTTCGTAATGTAATTGGGATACAGGAAACATTTTATTAATATGAACTGATGAACTTAACATTTGTCAAAAGTAGCGTTTCATATAAGTGTCAAACAAGACATACAGAAACTGTAATTTTTGTGAAAAAGTCAGCATTTTTTTTCTGCAGTTTTGAGTCCCAAGAATTGGCATTTTAAACTATATATGTTGGTGTAAAAAGGTTGATTAAAACACGTATAGGTTCATTGTTATGAGAATGCTGTTATAAATGTGACGTAAGTGTTCAAGAATTGCATTTTGCATTATTTTAATGTATGTGTACTGTTCCTTTGTGGGACCTTGTAAATGTTTTGTAAAGTGATTTTCAAACCCCTATGGGAGTTGTATGGCATGAAAATAGTTGATATTCATTTTGGAGCAACAGATGGGTGTATTATTGTAGCTTGTCTTGATATAACTGCCATCTATTTTTCTTGTGGCAAAAGTAACTTTTTCAGTATGATCTCTCATAATTGGTGCATTCGTTATCTTTAGGATTGTGATTTTATATATGCTTTGCCTTACCACATTTGTGTATTCGTTATAAGATTTGATTTCTACAAGATATCTCAAGTTCTTGTCCACTTTTTCCCAGATGCATTGTCCATTTCATTATAATTGCATTTAATCCAGAAAAAAACATTGTATTCAAGTCTTTTGTTGAAGACCTTGGTTATACAGGCCGGAAGATAAACAGGTCAGTTGTATCGCTAAATGTTTTGTAAAAAATTTTATTACCTAAGATGTATGAAACTTAAGACATTTTGTAACTTTTTAGTCAGAACAGAAGAAGGGTGAAAACAATTATACATTTTATTTAAAGCAGTAAAATAGAAACCGGAATCAGTAAATGTAAATTTTAAGAAAGGGGTATATATGATTATGAGATGCATTATGTTTTTACTGTGTTCACATTTTAAAAGGTCAAGTTTCAAATTTACTTCTTATTTACCACAAGCAATGTTGGAGATGGTATTTCACTCCCAAGAAAAGCATTTATAAAAAAAAGAAGCTGTGATTCACTGCCCTTCAATCTAAGATTTCTAAAAGAAAAAAAATATTATGACAGTGTTGTACTATTTGAAATGTTAAGTGAATGACCCAATAGAAGGTGCATGTTCCCTTTACGGAAATTCTTCATTTATTTGTCTCCTGATCCTACCAAGGTTACCCCCCCCCCCCCCCCCCCACACACACACACACAAACACCTTTTCACAATTCCTAAGTCTGTGTATATATGTAAATATAGATGTTGGTCGTAAAAATTAATGTGGATAAAGAAAGTTAGTTCTGATTATATTGTGCCTTCCTTGTGATCTGTTTATTGTCCGCTTGTAGGCGATATTACCCACGAGTATATCCACTTATACAAAAAGTCCAACTCAGAATAAGTATTTACTTACGATACATGATTTTACAGTTTCTTTTAAAGAAACCTTTTTCTGAATCTACACGCGCTATATTGTAACTGCATTAGAAATAAGTTAATTTTTCAGTCCATGGAACAAAAGTAATGATATGGGTTTTCTTACCTGTGGCGCAGCGAAGCAGTTCTATTGGTCGAACATTTAATCTTCGAAATGTTCGAAATGTGCCACAGTTCCATACTTGTGCTTCTGATATAACAGTTTAGTCAATATTCATCGCTACTAATGCCTTCAGGTAGATTTTTTTTTATTATTTTCGAAGATGATGAGAATTACCTAAGAATGTTTTTATAGTTTGTGTAAAAAATGATAACTCTCGAGCGTGTGTGAAATCAAATGTTCTAATGAATCGATCACTGTATGTAGGAGTGCCGTGAAACGCACGTTTCGTTTGAATTGAAATTCATCAATTTATTCTCTGAAAAGAATTGTAAAATTGGTTGGAATTAAAATATCTTTGAATGTGTAAACTTGCTGTGCAAGGAGTTTGTTATTTTTGTACGTACAGACGCAGTGTTGTACAATCGACTATCATCTGAACCTTTCGTCACCGTTATGGCCATCGCTGTGCACTTTTCATATAATTTGTTCCAAGGGGGGGGGGGGGGAGGCTAGAGGCACTATCTATAAGATCACTTAACTTTATCAAAGTAACATACGCTACCAGGCCCTGCACTGGCCGACCTTGCATGGCGGAAGTACCCTTTACCATGGTCACAGATTAATTTTTCAGTAGATTTTAACAGATATGTTGCTGGGTTAATAGACGGTTAATCTCTGTACTGTGCGCCTGGGCATATCGTTTTACTGAAATATATACGCACATTTAATACACTGAAGGTCTTTTTCAGTTGAAAAAGTACTTTGCCACCTTTTAACTTGCCTTTTCTATACCGTTTTGGTGGTCATTTTGTTGTTTCATTTATATGGCTTGCTGAGATGTAAAAAATAATGGAAATATGCACCTCTGTATATCATAAACGTGCAATTAGACAAAAAAATGAAGTGTGATTTGAAACTGAATATTGTTTATATTTTACTAGCAAATCAGCGGTCATCTTGACGTATGAAAAGTGATCAACTTCCTGAAGTAGCTACTGACAAGAAAAGCCAAGCTAAGTTGATAATAATAATAATAAACAATAATAATAATGATAATACAATAAATATGTGTATGTAACGTTAATGCTTGATTAGCAAAGTTAACCCGAGCATCTAGTCAGGTGCAACTTGATAATGGCCTTAATCTACTTAAAATTGTGTAACTTCATCACGAACAGAGCTCTATCTTCCAGATCTAGTGGGTCAATAATACGGCCAAGAGGGATGATACGATCATTGACACATTCTTGAAACCCCTTGTAATACAAGTTTTAAAAGGGAACCTTTTGCAAGAGTCTGTGTACAAAAATAACTAAGATCCCGTTCCCAAACCTAGATAGATCTAGCAGGATCGGCCCATCTCCGAGGGGCTCCTCGCTAAATTGCATTCGTCATCGTGTGTGGTGTACTCACGTATTAGATACGGGTACAATAAAAGACATTCGCAAAGGGCTTCAGATGCCTCACTGAAATGTATTATGTTTTTCTAAAAAAAATTAATTGAGAATGAAGATTCGATATTTATTATTTATTTATTATTTTTATGAAGGTAAATATAATTTTATTAATGTATTTCATTTTGAATATTTTTTAGATAAAGATTATTTCACCTTTTTTAAATTTGATATCATATTCGTCGTGTGGGCGATCCCCTCGCCCTTGCTTTTAACGTGAGCAGAATCGATCTTTTGCAACCGAGCAGTTAGTCGAAAAACTACTTTCATGTTGCCATAACAGGAGTACTTGTAACGTGTGAACACATATATGACCGACGTTGAATGGTATTCCTTCCCACTTGACCAGTAGAACTGAAGGCGCCATATCTATGAGGTAGGTACGTAAACGCTTCGATAGATTTAGTTTGGCTGTACCTATGAGTGTTAAATAGCACAATGGTATCAAAGGCATTCCCACTGGGGCGGTTTTAGTTTTAGCAAATCCCTTAGAAGAGGGAATCATTTAAAAAACGTTCAAATTTGTAAAAGCTGGTGCATTTTCCATACAAGCAATTGCAATTGCAGCGATGCCTTTTTTCGTCGGCTAGACGCGTTTTACAGGAGGTATGACAGAAGCAGATCCAGGATTGTTTTAAGGTGTTTTAAGAATGGCAAGCTTCAGATACAAAGCTGACCTTCTGTCCCCTTAGCATGGGGTACGGAGCCCTCTGAATTCTATTATTATTGTTTTGGAGGGCAAACGGTGCCATTTTTACGGTTTAGAACCATAGTTCAGCCAGTCCAAATTCTAATTTCAAGATGGGAAAATTAGTGTGATTTTTTAAAAACTCAAGGGGGGGGGGGTAGGGTCAGGATCCCCCTTACACCCCCCACCCCTCAACCCACCACTTTACATGTATAACACTAACACGTGTTCAAAGCGTATACCACAAACGCAAGACCAATCATACCCCGGTACGAATCTGACCCATTATAGTCTGAAATATGAATAATCTAAGATAACCCAGATGTTAGTTTTTGTTGATTTGGTCGTCTGATGATAAAACATCTAAAAAGAAGACGGTTTAAGAAGGTTTTATGTCTATATACATTTTATTCCAGTGGAGCTGAGGTCTTGTGTTTAATTACATATGACTGAACTAGACAGCGTGAGCATTTAAGGCACAGGTTCCTGAAACTGAAGATTCCCGTCTGTTAAGTACTGGTCAAGGCACGCGCTGTGTCCGGGAGATGGGCATTGGCTGAACCGTGACGTGTCATACCCTTCCCACCCACTCTTCTTACCCATAGCCATCCAGTGCTGCGCGTGCCGATAACATTCATGCCCATACCGATTCCGGGCATAAAGTCCCGGATTGGTGGGCATCGGGACCCACATCCCGTCAAACAACACCCGAGTCGGTTGCATGCCCTTTGAGAGGAGGATTTCCGAGTCCATCATATGCTGCCCGTATAGCTCGATCGTCCAAGCTTCGACATGGATTTGGAACACTCCACCTGCCTGTCGCCCATCGACGCAGCACCATAACTTCCCAAGATCAATGAATTTGTATCCCGCTTTAGAGAATTTGGGCCTAAGCTTCTGAAATGCACTGTAGTTTCCTGAAAGGAAAGTGATGTCGGCGTCCCTTTCCCATGGTAACACTTTGTTAAATTTAACGGCACCAAGTAAGGTGCCCTCTTGCAGTTCGCATATGATGCCTTCTTCCTCGCAGGTTTGCATGATAAATTTTACGGCTTTAGCAAGCCTCTTCAAACAACATGGCGAGAGACCAATCCCTCTTAGCTTGGAGCAGCTGTTTTTCGAGTGAACACAGTCAATAGTTATTAGCTGTCCCGATGCTAATCTGATAAAATCAAGTTTCCATTCAACGGCTAAACTCAACCATGTGTCATTTAAAAGTTTTAAGCGGGTTTCTTCTAAAACGTGGAATAGAGAATCCGGGCAAACTACCGAACGCCATTTTGTAATACGCTTTGCGCGTAAAAACAAGTCTTCAAATATGGTCTCTTTTTTAACCTCGTCACTGAATTTTAAAACCCTAAGAGCGTTCGTTTTTGCGAGAAAAGGCCCAGTTATATGGTCACAGTACACGCATTCTTGTTCCGATATGTCGTACCCGTTTCTGTAAACCAGTGTATAATTTCTAATCACGAGCTGTTGACAGGACATCGACCAATGGCCGTCGGATGTACGAGTGGCGCCCCCTACGACACTGACGTCCATGCTTCCGGCCACCCTTATCATCCTGTCTAATCTTGCGTTAGGCGTGAACGTCGTTAGATCTCGTGCTACAAGAACGTAGCGCGTTTTTACTTTTTTGATGAGTGAATTCAAAACCTTCCCTGGCGGTGTTTTCGCTGGAAAATCAACATAAGAAACTTTAAAGTAAGGGCCACCTGAGTTGAGCGTTGTTTTCTTAGATTTTGGTGTCGTTGGAACTAAAACGGTAATGTTGGGATATATTTTCTGTATGTCTGTCAGGATTCTTGTTATATCATTGGCAGCCCGTAGACCCTGACTGAAGTACAAAACAATGGTTACCAGCGACTCCATGGGTTTAGCGTTTGTACAATTAAGAGACACAAAACCTTTGTAAAAGAACGGATAGCCGTACAAACTATCCATAAATTTTTCAGGGCACACTTCTACTTCATTTTGAGAAGTCTTTTTCTTTTTTGTTGCGTGAAATGGTGATGGTGGCAAGTCATCGTTTTTCAAATTATGCAAAATTTTTGATATTGAACCAACTACTGCCTGAATATTTTGAAGAGTTTCAGAGCCTCTTGCAGAACGTGCCGCTCGGTGGAGCTTCTCGTTCGCTTTTTGAAGGAGCGCAATGACGTCACTCTTTCTGTGGATAGTTTCGTCTGTGTCTTCTTCTCCTAACAGCTT